TGTGGGCGCCCAGTCGCCATAGCCAGTTGAAGAGAACTCATATCTGGTTACGATATCTTGAGTACTGTGTGGGCACATGTCGCCAGTTGCTGTACCGCTGTTTGCAGGCATGACAAAGTGACAAGAAAACGAGTTTGAATTTACAATGACCGGTACTGACCGGCGTGCAACCTTGGTGGCCACGAAGCCCTGTCTGTGTCGTTAACTAATTCCTGAGGTCCTTGCTGGGAGACCTTAAACAGTCGGTTGGCCACCAGTTTGTGGAGGAGCTGTAGTGACACGCAGGGGGAAAGGGAAGTAGACCGGTAATACTTCGAATTAGGTTAGGTTAAGTTTTGAGTTTGTAAGTGTTCAGGGTTAGGTCTAAGTGGTGAGAAGTTGACTCACCTTTGTTGTGGCTTAAAATCACCATGGTGACCACTAAGTCTGGAACTGTGACCCAGCCGTTGACCATAGAGGAGGAGCAAAGGGTAGAGGATATTTTAAAGCAAAGAAAGGAGGACAAAGAAAAGAGAAAGAAGAAAAGAGAAGAGGAGAAGGAGAAAGAGAGGAAGAGATTGGAGGAGGAAAAGAGGAAGCTGAAGGAGAAGTTGAAGTAAGAAGAGGAAGAAGTTGAAGAAGAGGAAGAAAAAGAAGAAAGGGAGGAGGATAAGTTGGAAAGACCGAGAAGGGGGGCAATACTAAAGTGAGCACCGCCCAGGGTGTAGACATGAGGAGGAGCAAGAATGGGCGAGAACGTTCTACCTTCCGGGAGTCAAACGTTGGAAGACCTACAGGGGAATGTAGCTCACTGTGAGAAAGAGTTGCAAGTTCTGGACGGGGAAGAGATGCGCAGATGGCCGAGGTAGAGGCCCGCATGGAGGTCACACAAAAGGCCATCCAGCAGAAAAGGAAGGAGGCAGCAGCGAGGAAGAAACTGCTAGATGGTGGGGCGGCCATAGCTACGAAGTTGGAGAAGCAGGCAAAGGTAGAGGAGGAGCAAGAGGTGAAAGACGAAATTGGAATATTGACTGAAGTTGCGCTCCAGGCCGCCCAGGAAACCGCAGCACTGCGCACCGCTGTTGACCGATTAGCTGCACAGCACGACGAGTTTCGAGGAAAATGGAATAACTTCACCACCGCCACACTCCGCACAGTCAACGATAAGGTGACCCAGGTCCTCATGGGGGTAGAACGGTATATCGGCGAGACTTGTGTGTTGAAGAAGGGAGCTGGTGGAAGTGGTGGTCCCCCTGATGGTAACGATAATGATGATGACAAAAAGGGAGTTAAGAAAGAAAGGAGACAAGGGAAGGAGAAGAAGGATGATGAAGATGAGGAGGAGGCCAGGGACAAGATGAAGATGAAGATGCCCTGGACTTATAACAGGTAAAAGGAGGAGGATTTCTTACAGTGGGAGGCGGCCGTGAATAGTTATGTGCACGGCCAGAAGGTGGCGAGAACGGGCCAGGTGATGTTCGTTGCCTCTTGTCTTGGCGGCAAGGCAACAAGCTACTTGGCGTCCCTCATAGAGAACGCCGGTTGTGGGAGAGAGATCGTTGATTATTCCCGGATCACCTACTTAGACACCTTGTATTAACAGTTTGAAGATAAGACAAGGGGAAGGCGTACGCCGGCGAAACTTCTGAATGTGTATAGAGGGAATTGGAAGAGTGTGCACGCCTTGAAGGCGTTTATGGATGAGTTGCTGCAAGTTCCTGACCACGGTGTCACGCTGAAGCAAGCGCTCGAGTACTTTGCAATGGCACTGCCCGAGCCTCGGCGAAGCTTCTGAATGTGTATAGAGGGAATTGGAAGAGTGTGCACGCCTTGAAGGCGTATATGGATGAGTTGTTGCAAGTTCCTGACCACGGTGTCACGCTGAAGCAAGCGCTCGAGTACTTTGTCATGGCACTGCCCGAGCCTCTTAAGGCGCAGATGTATCCGCAGGTTGCTGCAGAAGAGGCTAATTATGCCAATTTTAGTGAGGCGCTGGACCGATGGGGGTTCCTGGCGCAGGCCAACTTCCACTATTTCAAGGACATCGAGAGGGGGGAGAAGTGGAAGGGCAGGATGAACTCTGGCAACGTGCAGGCCGGAGACAAACTCTTGGTGACGTTTGAGGAAGGGGGTGCAGAAGAAATCCCCCTTGAGCAAGTAGATTACGGTCACCTAGAGTACGAGCAGCAGTTCCAGGGCGGTCAAGTCGTTGTAGGAGGCGACTATGCGACCGTAGCAGCCCATGGGGAAGAGCAAGGAAGAGGAGGTCGGGGAAGAGGAGGCCGAGGTGGAAGAGGAGGAAGAGGGGGAAGGGCTACTCAGGGGTTTGGAGGCCGAGGGGTCTTCCAAGCGGGTGATAGGGGCTATGGTACCTCGCAAGGTAGTCAAACATTCCCCGCTTCGCAAGAAAATGGACGGGGCAACTATGCCCTCGCCAACGAGAGTGATTAGGGGTCTAGAGGGCAGCGTAGGTACACTTGCCATCCAGGACTCGAAGAACTCGAGCCCTGGAATGCTCTGATATATTAGAGGACCTCTGGCGTCAGAGGCAGAAAATGCTTTAAGTGTGGAGACCCCAATCACATTGTTCCCTTTTGCCCGTTATACCGACGACCATCAAATGGGAACGGCTAGTAGGAGCCATGGCTGCTCCTACAGGGGCCTTTGACTTTGACAGACATAAAGAACCGCGTGCTGAAGTAGGAACCTCCTGTCTGAGGACCCCAATGGCAAAGGCTGATGTAGGCCCCCACCTAGTCGACTGTCCAGAGATCGCTTGTGTTAGGGTCTCTCTAGGTGGCTCCCTTGCAGGCATCGGTGATGAGCTGATCACTAGTCGTCAAGCCTGGGCCGAGATGAAGAAAAGGTCGAAAGGACAGATAATATTAGCAGATGTAGAAGTTAGTAGAGCTAGGATAGGTGCGTTAGCGGATTGTGGTTCAACGCGTGGCTATACTAGTAGGAAACGATTAAAGGAATTGCATTATGAATGAAAGTGCACAAGTTGGAAGAGTCGGTAGTAAGCAAACTGACAGATAACCGAGAGATGAGAGTAGATGAATTCGTCGAGGCGGTGAAGGCATACTTCCGGTTGGAGGGAGAGAATAAGAAGTGCGAGAAAGTGTTGCATTCTCTGACCCTTCGAGTGGAGGACAGTCTACCCTTTGACATGTTGCTAGGGACGGATTGGGATGAAGCCGCGAAGACTGATGTGAAGATGGGTGAGCATGAGTGCTGGCTGCCAGTCCACAAGGTGGGAAAAAAAATATCCAGTCCACAAGGTGGGAAGAAGAAGATCAGACTCTTCCATGAGTCCGGAGTCCAGTTTGCCCTTTCGTTGCGTTGCATGAGTGCCCCCACGTTCGCTAGGCACGTGGTCAAGCAAGACCTTGCTGACCAAGTCTTTATTGCATATGTTAGACCGGTTAGTGAGGAGAACGAGGAGGAACCAGTACTGCCCCAGATCCAAAGTCTGTTGAGCGAGTTCGCAGATGTAGGAGAGACCTCGATCGGTGTAGTGGAAAGAGAGATCAAGCACCGGATCGACATTGAGCCCGATAACAAGATTCCCAAGGGTCCGATCTACAGACTGTCTCCCAAGGAGTTAAGTTGAGGAAGCAGCTAGACGAACTAATTGAGAAGGGGTGGATTAAGCCAAGTTCCTCATCCTACGGGGCACCGGTCCTACTCGTGCCTAAGAAAGAAGGCGAACTGCGTATGTGCATAGACTATAGGGGACTAAACGCTATAACTGTCAAGAATGTTGAGCCGCTGCCAAAAATAGACGATCTATTAGACAAAGTGCAGGCCCTGCAGGGATGCAAGTACTTCTCAAAGATAGACTTAAAGTCAGGGTACTGAAACAGTTTTTCACCTTTGCGGTAACAGATGCGGATCCCAGGGCTTGATCCCTAGACCTCACCTTACCCGTGTACAGTATCAAGTCGACCCATGTGTGTGTTTGAACCCGTGATCTGTGTTTTGGTAGTTGATTGTTGCTTGTCGTAGGTCTATGCAGCAGTAGGGGTTCGATTTGTAGATCTGCCGACTAGGGGGTCATAGTTGTGTAGGGGCTGTAGCTGTAGCAACTCTAAAGGTCAAGGTCGTAGCTGCTACAGTCCCGAAAGGTCAAGGTCGTAGCTGCTACAGTCCGGAAAGGCCAAGTCCACAGGCTTTCGAAAGGTCCGAAAGTGGCCTTTCCAGTTTCTTCTCACGTTACCCACATCAGACCAGAGGCAAGTGGGCAAGTGGTGAGTACAACTTCGCTTAGTCAACGGTACCCGGTCCCAGTCTCACTTTGTACAGTCAGCAAGTACCATGAGGGACTGTGTGCGCCATGGGCCTGGTGGAAAAGGGCAGACCAGCGACTTATAGAAGTATAAATCAAGAGGCAGTGTTCAGCCATGCATTCATTTCCTGCTTGAGCCATGCGGAAGCGCTGCCCAGGCGACCTGTGCGAGGTGGTCTGCAGAAGCTCGAGGTTGAAGTGGGCTGAAGGGAGATAGTGTCCATAGCTAGTAGAGGTTAGGTGGTCATAGCCACCGTAGCTAGAGATATGTTTTTGTGTGTGTGTGTATGATACAAAGTTGTGTGCGTGGGATATCCAGGGAGATCCGGAGTGAAGTGTGTGTGAGCAGTCGCCGTGAGTACGGTGTTGGACAGTTGATGTGTGGCGCTCAGTCGCCATAGCCAGTTGGAAACGAGTCGGTATCTGAACTGTATTATCGGCCATATTGTCACTGAGCTTCTTATGGGCGCTTGGCGCCAGTGTGTTTTTGCCATCTGTTTGCATGCATGCGAAGTGAGAAGAAAGTGAGTCTGATTTCATTGGTATCGGAGCTGGTTCCCACTATTCCACGCGCCATAGCAGAAGTGCGCCGAAGACGAAGAGTCCGCCATAGTTGCACTGCGAAAGGAGGTGCCGCATACCTGCAAGGAAGACACCGAAGAGAGAGAGAGAGAGAGAGAGAGAGAGAGAGAGAGAGAGAGAGAGAGAGAGAGAGAGAGAGAGAGAGAGAGAGAGAGAGAGG